TATACAGTCTCCACAGCCTGTGCTCTCTGGCTCCACCTGCAATATCTTTTCACTTAAAGGAGCTGAAATCACAACAGGCTACATGTACTTGACTCAGATCATTTCAAGTGTGCACTGCTTGTTCGATAATGCTATACTCTCTATGCATTGATACTGGACCGGTTCCTTAAGTTTATACACATGCTGTTTATACTTCCAGTGCATTTCAATAAACTTGATTCAACTCTAAAATATGCCCAATCCAATCATTATCAGGGATATTAGAACAGACCTGTACAATACAGATTGCACTAGACTCCACGCATTGTAAGAATAAATAGAACTTATAGAATATATAACAAAGTGCATTTTAAGCTTTATTTTTCTTCCTTAGTGCTCCACAAAACCCATGCTCCACATTAACAGATCTAAAATAAATTACTCCACACAGAGCGTAAAAAGAATCAGGTTAATTTATTAATTTTTTTAAAAACAAACATGTCAGTGCATAGTTGTAGACGCATACATACATATAAAATTATAAATAAAATCTTTACATAAAATTTTTAAAAGACAAGCGCAAATTTTTTTTAAGCGACTTTCTTGGTGTCAACGTCTTGTGTTTACCCAGTGGTAGCGGTCAATGCGAGGACCTGAAAACACAGACTGCCTGTGGTGTTTATAGGGTTTGTTTTGTGGATTATAGTTTTGACAATAGGGTGTAGATTGATGCTGATGGTACCCATCACTTTGGTAGTTCTTTCTGCGAGGAAATTGGGACCAAGACTGTATAGGATGGCTGTAGTCTGTACACTGCACAAGGGGGAAGAAGAAAAAAAAAAAACGGTTTAATAGAATTTACCAAGAAGCTTAGCCAGTCCAGCCTAAAAAAACCCCATCTAAACCTTTACAGTAAAGGTAAAGAGCCATGTCCAAATCACATTACCCATTGAACCAGATTTTTACTGACAATTCTTTAACCTAATGGATTGCCATGTGTTAACTGTACTTTCACATTTCCACTTTAAGTTTAGGATCAGTAATAGGCATGGACCAAGGCTGTGGCAGACATTTGCACTAGTACAGCACTTAGTGAAGTACACCAGGGTACATTTCAAACTAAAAACAAAAAACTGGAGCAGATGTGCATGGCAACCAGCTTCCTTCTTCAGTTTGGATTTGAGAACTAACGAGTGAAGCCGATTGGTTGCCATGCACAGCTGCTCCAGTTTTGAT